ACATCAATAGTTAAAAATTTTAATAAAAAAAATACATCGTCAGATTTACAATTATTGCATACTTTCAAATTTACAATATGTTTCAGTAGGTTGAGAAAGTATATGAACAGATATTACATTGTAGTAGAGCCACTAGCATTCAAAAAAAAAAATATTCTTTGTTGACTAGAGTTTCATTAGAACTAGACCATTAAATTACTATCTTACTATTTTTAGAATTCAACACCAGTCATGTTTATAAAATTTATTATATGGAAAAGCTTTTATCCTTACAAAAACTACACAATTTTTGTCACTTCTAATGTGGCAATTTTTGTGTGGTTAGTTTTTTTATTTTTTTTTTCTTTTTAATTTCAAATCTCAATTAATCACAAATTGCAACATTCGGAGTGACAAAGAATGAAATGATTTTTTTATTTTTGTTTGATACATAGGTATCATAAATTATGCTAAACTAATCCTAAGGCCCATAACCTTGCCTAAGAGCTGTTGTATGAGGTAAATCGTGAGTTATTACATCCACCTTTGCCTGTTTTTACACTTTTCGCATAAGAAGTCTTTATTGATCAGTCAAGATCTTCCAATGACTCCCAATGATCTTTATCTTATATGATATGTCAAGATCTTTTAATGACCTCCAAGTTCTTAGTTATGGCCTTATGGGGTGACTGTAGGGACTAGGGAACAAATAACATTGTCCTTATTATATACTACATATGTCCAAATGTTTACTATTCACTAGTCAAACTAAAATTTTCTTTATTTTTGTTTAATATTTTTAGTACTTTTTAATTTTTTTTAAAATTTTTTTTTTGGTATTTAATAGTTATAAATTCAAAATATATAGGGCTTGTTTACTAACCGAAGAATATCTCTAGTTTTAATAGAAAACATAAAATATGTTTACTAGCACGATTTTTCATTTTGAAAGTTGAAAACATTTTTCTGTTTTCAAGAAAACGGGAGAACTTTTAAAAACTGTTTTCTAAATGAAAAACAAAATCATCTATCATCTATTTGACTATATCACTATAACCACATTCTCATCATTATCTACATACATATTTATTTATTAGTATGATTATATTCATTATCATCTACCAGGACTATGTGGTCTAATGGTATCCGGGTTGGACTTCCAATTGGAAGATTATGAGTTCAAGCCTCAGTGGAGGCGTTATTGGTTCTTTGTGTTTCAGTAGGTTGAGAAAGTATATGAACAGATACTACAATGTAATAGAGCCAGTAACTTTCAAAAAAAAAAAAATATATTCATTATCATCTTCTTTTTACTTATCACCATCTTCTATATATCTTTTCTACTCGCATTTACTTATATAAACATAATTTATTTGCTTAAAGTTAGACATTATTCACATTATCAAAATTAAAACTTGAACTCTACACCAAGTTTTAGATTTAAGATTATATTGAACTAGATTATTAGTTCGTATAGTTTTAGTTATGTTATATCGTAATACAAGTTTCATCTGGATATTAGATATATATTGAATTTCTATATATATTAGACTTCAAAGTAAGGCTTTTATATATACATGTCATTCAAATAGATATATCCAAAAATATTTTAAATATTAGCTCACAAAATATTCATATTATTTAAACTAAATTTTAGGTGAACTTAATATGTTATTGGTTTGGATATATTTTTAGTTATATTATATACAGATATGAATTTGGTTTGGATATCAAAGGTAAAAATCTTATGTACATTAGACTTAAAAGTAAAACTTATATATATTCCATTTAAATTTTAAACCAAACATATACAACAATATTTTAAATGTAAGGTCTAAATATTACTCAAAATTAAATATATGTCAATTTTATAATGTTGGTTTACAAAAATAAATTTGAAAAAAATGAGTATTAGCAAACAAATTTTCTAAACAGAAACATATAATAAAAACAGGAAACAGAGAACAGTTTTGAAGTTCATAAATTTTATATACTAATAATAAACTTAATATTATATAAAATTAAATTAAAAATAACTCTAGTCAAATCTCATTAACCAAATATATAAAATTGGATGAATGGAGTACACACATACATATAGGGGAGGGTTCCGGTGCGGAGATAACTTCCCGTGCGGAAGTGCGGTGATCTAAGCTGATGCACCTTAAGCTTCGAGTCTACGCACCTTAAGTTGGACTAACATTAATATGGCTTTTGTAGAGAAAATCTTATAAATAATATAAGTTGTGTTTTGGGACTGCCAAAAAAAAAAGTGTGTCCTCAATTAAAGAAGCAAACTGTAAAAAATAGTGCACCTTAAGAAGAAAAAATAACACACATTAAGAATGAAAATAACGCACCTTAAGAAGGAAAATCAAACACCAAAAACTTTAGACCGACGCACCTTAAGAAGGAAAACTACACACCAAAAACCTTAGGCCGACGCACCTTAAGTTTCAACAACTAACGCACCTTAAGCACAAAAACCACGCACTTTAAGAAGGAAAACTACGTAGCTAAAGCTTTAGACCGATGCACTTAAGTTTCAACAACTGACGCATCATAAGCACACAACACAAAAACCACGCACCTTAAGCACAAAAACAACGCACCTTACGAAGAAAAAACCAAGCACATTAAATTTGACCTAGATGCAAAAAGACCAAATTGCCACCGCGTCTTTTTTAGTTCTTGTTAATCATAGACGTTGATCTTGATAAGATCAATGACTTTCATCTCACCCCAAAAAACACACTTCAGGTAGACAACCGCACGGGAATATATATATATATATATATATATATATATATATATATATATATATATATATATATATATATAGGGATGCACTCAGGTGCGAATAAGTGCTCAGGAGGGAAATGCGAACGAATCAGCGCGCGACAAGTGTCCAGATCTAATAACTTAAAAAAACCGCGGTGGCATTTTCGTAAATAATTGAACATCGAAGTGCAAGTAAAATCACTTAAGAGTGCATCTACTTTCACCTATAAGTGCATGTAATTTTGCCTTGTTAGCATTCACTTTCCGCAAACATTCATGCACCTGGGTGTGCTTATAACTATATGTGCAACTATTTATAACTATAGGTGCAACAACTTATAACTATAGGTGCACCTACTTTCACCTATAAGTGCATGTAATTTTGCCTTGTTAACATTCATTGATTTGAGTTTAGCGGGTAGTAATACCCCTGAAAACCACTCGCAAACATTCATACACCTAGGTGCAACTACTTATAACTATGTGTGCAACTACTTAGAACTATAGGTGCAATTACTTAGAACTATAGGTGCAACTAAGTATTGATGCTCAATGTAAATTTTTACTTGCACCGATAATACATTTTACATGCACTTGTAATACATTTTACTTGCACTTCGATGTTCAATTATTTACGAAAATGCCACCGCGTTTTTTTAAAAAATCTGTGTTTCTCATCCATTAGATCTGGACACATGGATGGACAGAATCCATTCCTATTTCGCGCCTGGGCGAAGCATTCGCACCTGAATGCGATTATATATATATATATATATATATATATATATATATATATATATATATATATATATATATATATATATATATATATATATATATATATATATATATATATATATAGAGGAAGGTTCAGGTGCGACGATGTCCTTAGGTGCGGCGGTGCGGCATCATCAATAGTTCAACAAATATACACCATCAACGTTAGGAAAATGCACCACAAAAACACACACAAATTAGGTACGCATCACAAAAAATGCACCATTAGGTGTGAGTAAAAACATCAAAACACCATACAGTGTTCAGAAATACACCATTGGGGTGTGGTGAGTTATATGGTGTATTTTTTGCGTATGTTGTGTATTTTTTGTATTTTGTTGCATTTTATTGTGGTTTGTTTCCCTTACACTATTGGTGCATGTTGTTAACACTGTTGGTGTATTCTGAAATTTCGCCGCACCGTCGCACGGGAAGACTCCGCCGCATTTGAACTTTCTATATATATATATATATATATATATATATATATATATATATATATATATATATATATATATATAATTAGGTTCAAATGCGGTTGGTGCGTCCAGGTGCGATTAAATATGAGTCATTGATCTTGCTTAAATCAACGTCCATGATTACCAAAATAAAAAAAATGCATTGGTAATTTGATAATTTTTGCATCTAGGTCAAATTTAAGGTGTGGCGTGGTTTTTGTGCTTAATGTGCTTGAGTTTTGTGTTTAACGTGCGCGTGTTGTGTGCTTAATGTGAGTATTTGTTGGAACTTAAGGTGCCTGAGTTTTGTGCTTAAGGTGTGTGAGTTTTGTGCTTAATATGAGTAGTTGTTGAAACTTAAGATGCGTGATTTTCCTTCGTAAGATGTGTTGTTTTCCTTCTTAAGGTGTGTGCTTTGTATGCTTAAGGTGCGTCAATTGTGTGAAACTTAAGGTGAGCAATTTTAAAATCTGAAGTGCGTGGTTTGTGATCTTAAGGTGCTTTGTTGTGTGCTTAAGGTGCGTGATTTGTGTACTTAAGGTGTGTTGTTTGTGTTCTTAAGGTGCTTTGTTTGTGTGATTAAGGTGTGTGATTTGTATACTTAAGGTGCACCATTTTAATGCTTAAGGTGCGTGAACCGCACAAACGCACGGGAAACCTATTCCTGCACTTTAACCCTTATATATATATATATATATATATATATATATATATATATATATATATATATATATATATATGATCGCGTTCAAATGAGAACGTGCCTCCAGGAGAAAACTCAGAACGCATGACATCCGTTCACGTGTCTAGATCTAACAAATTAGAAATACTAATTAAAAAATAATATAATGATATTTTCATAAATAATTAAACATCAAATGTAAGTAAATTGTATTACAAGTGCAAGTAGTAGCTGATGCAACTGTACAAATAAAAAATGCATATGTCAATTATTTATGACGGTAATTACAAGCATATATATACACTCACGTAAACGTAAGCAAACAAATTTGAAACTGCTGTCTGGCCGACGTTTCTCTCTCTAGAAGATGCATTCCCTCGATCTCCTCCTCCTCTTTTGAAGATTCTTAGATATATTGTGTATATATATTTCCTTCTGTCATATACGCGAATTTATACACATAATACACATGTATAGTATATATATATATATCAAAATCTATGGATACATATAAATAGAAAGATAAAAAACTGTTTGACCCGTCGGTGAATTAGTTTGTACAAAGAAGACACGAAAAACCATATAGATAGATAGATAGAGCCAGCCAGAGTTGTGGATAAGAATGCTGCCGGCAAGATATTTGGTGGCCGTGGTAATTTCCGGCGTGTTAATGTCGGCGGCGGCGGCGGTTTTATACGGCGAAGGGACGCTGAGTTTCACTCTGGAGAGGGCATTTCCGACGAGTCATGGAGTTGAGATGAGTCAACTCAGAGAGCGAGACCGAGTCCGCCACGGCCGAATCTTGCAGTCCTCCGGCGTCGTTGATTTCCCCGTCGAAGGCACTTACGATCCCTTTCTCGTTGGGTAATCCCTATAAATTCTCTCTGATTTCTTCTTTATATATATTCAAGAAACTTGCCGAAGTTTCTATTGTGCCAGATTCAAAATTCTCATATAATTGAGTAAAAGATAAAATCTTTGCGTCTTTAGTGGAAAAATTTCGGTTCATGAATCTTTAACTTATACTTTTCAAACTTATGTTGAATGCCAAATTGTCAATTGTTGAAATTATCAGTATTTCTTAATGGGATTTTCACTTCTCAGTGATTTTATCTCTGTTAATTAGTTGGTTTTGGATTGGATCTTGTCCTGTTTTGATTGTACTAGGAATACAAATGAGGATTTTTTAAGAATATGAATAGTTGATTGATCTGTTGGGTTTTTAAACAATCATTACTGATTTCTTAGCTCTTATGAATATGGTTCAGGCTTTACTTTACTAGGGTTCAGTTGGGTTCTCCACCGAAAGAGTTCTATGTACAGATTGATACCGGAAGCGATGTCTTGTGGGTGAGTTGTACGTCTTGCAATGGTTGCCCAACGTCGAGTGGACTTCAGGTAATGGCTGCTTCGTTTCAAAGCTGACGTTTTACTATTGAGAATGTTGTAACGTGTTTGTGGCATTATCACCCTCGATTTGTTGTTTGTTACAGATCCCGCTCGAGTTCTTTGACCCGTCGAATTCACCTACAGCTTCGGTGATATCGTGTTCAGACCAGAGGTGTGCACTTGGAGAACAATCTTCCGACTCCGGGTGCTCTACCCAGAATCAATGTAGTTACACGTTCCAGTATGGTGATGGTAGTGGGACATCGGGGTATTATGTAGCAGACTTTATCCATTTTACTACAGTTGTGGGGAATTCTATGAACTTAAACACATCATCTCAAGTTGTTTTTGGGTGAGTTATGATCGAAGTGCAAAGTAATTGGCGATTTTATGTGCAATTCTTCAGCTGATGTATTACGGTTTTTGTGGCCTGACAGATGTAGCACATCTCAGACTGGAGACTTAACTAAGCCCGACAGGGCAGTTGATGGAATCTTCGGATTTGGCCAGCAGAGTATGTCAGTAATCTCGCAGCTTTCATCACAAGGAGCAACGCCAAATGTGTTCTCCCATTGCCTGAAAGGCAGCAATGGCGGGGGTGGCATATTGGTACTAGGCCAGATCGTGGAGCCAAGTATAGTTTACACTCCGCTTGTCCCATCACAGTATGTTTTTTTTTTTTCCAGTCTTGAATGAAAACGCTTTACCTTTCAAACTGGCAGCTAAGATTCCATTTGTGTTAATGTCTTCTATGCGAGCTTAAAATATTATTCTTTTTCAGCATGTTTCAATTGCAATTGATTTCTATTGTAATCTGTGGGTACAGTTTTTTGCATTTTTCCGTTTCTACATTTTGATTCTGAGCACTTTGCGTCTGAAAGATTTATTTGGCATCATATCAATATATGTCCTATCCTAGTTATCTGAAGTTTTTGATTAGTTCTTTTAAGGAGTTTTTTGCACTTTTGGTTCCACGACTATGAGACTACTTCCACAGTTGGTCCCTGACGGTTAATTTTTTCACATTTGGTTCCACGACTTCCAAATCCTTGCCGCATTTGGTCCCTCTAATCTAATTTCCGGTCATTGGTGACCAAATTTTAGGCAAGTGACTTATCTTGAAGGGCAAAATTGTCATTTCCGGTCTCCTTCCTGAGAAGTTTAAGAAAAAACGTAATGAAAAATAACAATTTTGTCTTTTAAGATAAGTCCCCGTGACCGGAAATTAGGTCGGGGGACCAAATGTGATAAAGATTTAAAGGTTGTGGGACCAAATGTGGACAAATTAATAGTTGGGGACCAAATGTCGGAATGGTCAGTTGGTCACATAGTCTAGGGACCAAAAAGTTGAAAAAACTCGTTCTTTCAGTATCAACTCATTTCACCCTTCTGACATGGTTATCCTTTTGCATCAGGATGCATTACAATTTGAATTTGCAGAGTATTTCTATTAATGGGCAGCCTTTGCCGATTAGCTCGCAAGTATTTGCAACATCAAGCAACAGAGGGACGATAATAGATTCTGGAACAACTTTGGCATACCTTGCAGAGGAGGCTTACGACCCTTTTGTAAATGCAGTAAGTTATTACTGGTGGAGACGACATTCATTTATTTAGCAAATTATGTAGTACTTATTGTCGGGGGTATTATACAAATATGCCTTGAAACTTACGGTCCTCTTGTAAGTGCAGATAACCCAGGCTGTTTCAGCATCTACACGTCCTCTCGTTGCCAAGGGAACCCAATGTTACTTAACGACCTCCAGGTTCCACTCCACATTTATCTTGCATCTACTAGACCGCCTTTCTCTTTCTACGTCTTTCGTATCTGACCTCGGTTCTATCTTCTGTCCAGTGTCTCCGATATATTTCCCACTGTTAGTTTGAATTTTGCTGGTGGTGCATCAATGATGTTAAAGCCTGAAGACTACCTCTTACAACAAAACTCCATTGTAAGTTAAGATCTCAAATATCGGTTTGAAAATACCTATCTGCCACGTAATCTGCATCTGAATCGTCTGTATATCTGATTTAAGTAGCAATGTTTAATCACAAGGGTGGTGTGTCAGGCTGTCAGCTAACACGAACCCTTACATTTTAAAGCTTAACCGTGCAATGCGTGTGCTGTATAGGGCGGAGCTGCAGTGTGGTGCATTGGGTTTCAGAAACTTCAAGGCCAAGGGATTACCATTTTAGGAGGTAAAATCATTGAATGCATATGTAGTTTTATGTGTTCAAATCTTCGCCGATTGGTAATGTGTTCGTTCTTATTTCCTACAGACCTTGTCCTGAAAGACAAAATCGTTGTTTATGATTTGGCAAACCAACGGATCGGGTGGACAAATTATGACTGTAAGTTGTGTGTCGGCTTCTTAGAACACTATGCATTCATTGTTGAGCATGTAATCCAACTATCAACTTAGGTTTTTAGTTGAGATGGAGCGTATGCTTCAATTTGGTATCAGAGCCAACCCCATGCCAAGGTCATGGGTTTGAATTTCTGTGTCACCCGATAAAAATTGAGCAATTTATAAACATAAACATGCAATACAACTTTTAACTTGGGTTTTTAGTTGAGATGGAGCATATGTTTTAATTTTCATAACATGCTTCGTCCCTCGGCCCTCGACCCTCATCTGTTCCAACTTCGTTTATGTAGGTTCAACATCGGTAAATGTTTCTACGACCACGAGATCGGGCAGAAGTGAAGTCGTCGATGCAGGGCAGATAAATAACAACGCGGCCGGGTGGCGAGTTAATCCTTATGAGGTGATGGGGAACATTGTTGTTGCTTTCTTGTTACATGTATTGGCATTTGGCTGCTACTCTGTTTTGTTGTAACATTTGGTGTGTATCTAGAGTTGTCATTTTTTTTTTTTTTTTTCAAATAGTTTTGTGTACAGGGGTCTGTCCAATATTTATTTGAACCACAGGCACACCTATCTTTAGTAACAATGCAGCCTTTTAGGTTGTCTTTGTATTGAACACACCAAACAATTTGTGTAGTAGATATCGCCTTCCCGGAGTGACCATCACAAATATTTTGTTCTAATAATTAGTACACAATTTAGCTTTACTGGTTTCTGGCAACGAGAATTGGGTTATCGAAAGTCAGGTTAATAGCTCTGTTTGATAACATAGTTAGTTTATCAGTCAATTTTAATTTATTTGATCACTATTAACTGTTTGACTTGGTTAAACAATTAATATAAATTAATTAGTTTTTTTGTAACAGCTTATTGTTCTAAAATGTTAAATTTTAAAAATTGTTCAAAAGTAACTTTTGCAATAAGCTTTTTGAGAAAGACATTTTGTATATAATCAGATATCAATTAATATTTAATTTATCAAACATCTTTTACCATCAGCTAATGCTATCGACTAGTTAAAGTCACTAACCCAATAACTAACGACTATTACCAAACACCGGTAATATCAATTTTAATCTTTCTAAGTATAATGATGGCTACACGATTTTTATTTTTAAAATTGATGATTAATTTTGATCGTCTAAGTATTTATTTTTGATAACGTTTGATCCTATTTTTTGTGAAATGATCATCTAGGCACAACTCATAAGGGTGTAAATATGACTTCAAAAAAAAAAAAAAATGTCAACTCACTAATAACCTAAAATATGTTAAAGCTAAACACTAATGATCATTACTTTTGTGTCTAATTTTGTGCAGTTTCAAAAATTGCCATGTCTACCTTAAAAGAGAAATTGACTGAAATATGAAAAAACAATCATCCATTTCCAAAAATATGACGCTCTGAAAAATTTGACAACTTTATAAAAAAGACGTTTGGGACTTACGTATGAGGTTAAAAACGCTATTTTATACATGAGACGCAATTCGTATTTGCGCCTGAAGTATTCTTTTACCTAAGTTTGAGAAATATTTAAAATGATGTGTGCGTCAGTCTAAATTAATGGTGATGTGACCAGTCGCTGACTGATGCACTGGTCACGTCACCCAAATCGAAGATCAGATCAGAAGACGGCATGCAGTAAACCAGTCGTTATATCGTGGACCGCGGTGCATAATCAATTATGCACCGTGCGTCAAAACAGCGCCGTTTCTGCAGTTATAACGGAGTGACACTACAGTGTGTCTAAACCGACACTGTCTCACGTATTATTTTTATATTATCAAATGAAACTGCATTTATATCAAAATGATACTGTAATTGTGGTGAAATGAAACTAGAGTATATATAAAATGAAACTGAATAACATTTCACATATTTGAGTGTATATTGTACAGTGAAGCTGTAATTATATTGAAATGATCATGTAGTTGTGTTTTAATGAAACTATAGTGTATACAAAATAAAATTAAATAACATTTTCAAATATTTGAGTGTATAAATATTGAATGAAACTGTAGTTATATCGAAACGAAACTGTAGTTGTGTTGAACTGAAACTGTGTAGAATAAAGAAGTGGGATGGTAGAACAAAGCAAAAGCACTCACAGGAGTTGAAAGGAAGAAGATGAAATGTATTATATCTCAGACAATAAATACCATTGAAAGTTGGCCTATATATAGGCTACAGAAACTAACTGAAAGAAAATAAAAATAAACCATAAGTCCATAATTCAAAGCACTACTGCACGATCTATATCCACTACTGCATTATCCGAAATTAGCTCCACGTAACGTCGGAATCGGTCAAGCTGATTATTGGTGTTGTAATGTTATTAACACTCCCCTTCAACACCAACTATCTTATTCCTTGTAATACCAAGTTTCTTGCCAAAGTAATCAAGCTTGCTACAGCTCAAACTTTTTGTAAACATATCAGCAACTTGTTCATCAGTTCTAAGTTCTAACATGGATCATTTGTACTTCTCCCTTGAGAACTTTCTCCCCGATAAAGTGGTAGTGCACTTCAATATGCTTACTTCTAGCATGAAACACTGGATTTTCTGCCAAACATACTGCTGACAAGTTGTCACAGTACAAGGGAATTGAATACTCTGTTGATTGATGCAAATCTCTTAGCAACTGCACCAACCAAGTGCTCTCTTGCGTTGCCATCGCTGCTGCTTGGTACTCTGCTTCTGTTGTCGACAAAGACACTGTTGGTTGTCTTTTGCTACACCAAGAAACCGCTCCACACCCAAGCATAAACACATAGCCAGTTGTTGAACGCCAAGTTCCACAATCTCCTGCATAATCTGCATCACAGTAGCCAGCTAAGGTGTTACCTCCACTTCTCTTGTACATAACACCCTAACCAAGAGTGCCCTTAACATATCTTAAGATTCTCTGAGCAGCTTCCAAATGAGGTTTCTTCGGACTTTGCATGTATCGACTCATCACGCCAACTGCAAAGGACAAGTCAGGCCTTGTTAAGGTAAGATAAATCATACTACCCACTAACTGCCTGGGCATCTTCCAAACTTTTCCCTTCATGTGCGCAGAGCTTCGCATTCAATTCCATCGGCACTGATATCGGTTTGCAACCATACATGCCAAACCTATTTAGCAGATCTCTAGAATATTTATGTTGATGCAGAAATATTCCCTCTCCACTGCGAACAATTTCTAAACCAAGAAAATGATTAAGATACCCCAGTTCTTTCATTTTAAAGCGTATTGACAAATTTTCCTTCGTTCTGAGAACTTCTTCAACATCATCACCAGTTAAAACTAAATCATCCACGTATACTAGCACAATGGCTAGCTTACGTCCTTTAGCTTTGACAAACAAGCTGGAATCTGACGGTGCCACCGAATAATCATTGCAAACAAGAAACTCTGCAATCTTGCCATACCAAGCCCTAGGAGCTTGCTTTAAATCGTAAAGAGCCTTCCGAAGCTTACACACATACTCAGGATATATATATATATATATATATATATATATATATATATATATATATATATATATATATATATATATATCACGATCTAGTTCTCCATACAAAAATGCATTTTTCACATCCTTCTGCCAAAGGTCCCAATCTTTATTTGCTGCAAGTGCAAGTAACACTCGAACAGTAACAAGCTTTGCTACCGGACTAAAAACTTCATCGTAGTCCAGCTCATACTGTTGAGAAAATCCTCGGGCTACTAGACGAGCCTTAAATCTCTCAATTGAACCGTCTGCATTGCGCTTCACCTTGTAAACCCATTTACACGAAATAGGTTTAACATCTTTCGGCTTCGGAACGAGCTCCCATGTCTGGTTCTGCTCTAACGCAATAACCTCTTCTTCCATGGCATTAATCCACTCCGACTTTTGAAACGCCTCCTCAAAAGTCTCTTGCTCTTTAGCTTCTTCTATAACAGCAGCATTAACATACCTGGGATTTGGCTTTCTAACTCTTGTGGACCTTCTTAGCGGAAGTGGTGTACTCACTCTATTGGAATCCCATCTTCACTTTGTTGCTGGTATTCGCTAGCTTGATCTTGAGTTGCCACGACTTCACCATCTTCACTTTCGTCTGCACTCTCATTCCCTCCTAGACCCAATTACACTGGGGAAGACTCCAGTACCTCTTTAGAGGAGTTAGAATCTGGCAAGACTCGTTCACCAGAGGACCACCACGATGAAGCTTCATCAAATACTACATTACGAGACGTATAACACTTCCCTGTTATAGGATCACAGCAACGCCACCCTTTTCTTTGATTGTCATACCCAACAAAAATACATTTGACAGCCTTCTTTTCCATCTTGCTTCGCAAATGATCAGGCACAAACACATAGCACACACAATCAAAAACTCGAAGGTAACTAACAGAAGGTTTCATGTTATGAAGCCTTTCAAATGGTGAAAGGAAATTTAACCTCTGTTGGGGAAGTCTATTAATCACAAAGGCTGCAGTCCTCATTGCCTCACCCCAAAAACGCCCAGGAACACTCTTAGTATGCAACATACTATGACATACCTCTGCTAAGTGTCTATTTTTCCTCTCTGCCACGCCATTTTGCTGCGGTGTGCCTGAACATGTGAACTGATGGCGTATTCTAAAGCCTTGAAGAAAAATTGAGAATTCATCTGAGGTGTACTATCCCCCATTGTCTATGCGCAAGAAGCAAATGGTCCTGCCAACTTCTATTTCCGCTTCATTTTTAAAAAATTTAAATTTTGACAAAACCTCTGACTTTTCCTTCATAAAATAAACCCACACATATTTGGAAAAATCGTCAATGAAAGTGACCATGTACTTCAGTCCGCCAATGGAAGACTGCTTGACTGGCCCAAACACATCAGAGTGAACCAACTCTAACGGCTACTTTGCTTGGTATCTGGACTCTTCATAAGGCAGTTGGTGTGCTTTGCCATACTGACATCCTGCACATATAGCGCCACTCCTCACTTCAAGTTGAGGGAGTCCCTCAGCATTGACTTCCTCATCGTCATATCTAGCTTGGAGTTGCCAACATGGCCAAGCCTCAAGTGCCACAAGTCTACAGTCTCGTTCTTCCTCGCTTTGTCTACAAACACAGTTTCAACAGACATTACATAGATTGACTCCAATCTTCTCCCCGACACCACTGGTTCTTTTTTAATCTCAAGATCTCGATATATTTTCACATCTTGTGGTCCAAATAAGACAAAATGGCCAGAAGACGTCAATTGTGACACCGAGAGAAGATTCTTCTTCATGCCAGGAACATGATACACATTTTGGAGTGGCACCTTTATATCACCATTTTGAGGAGATATGTCACATTACCGACATGCGCTATCGATAGCTTGGAGTTGCTTGCTGTTACTACTACACGTCCTCCTTTATATTCTGCCACATTCTGTAATTTTTCTGCATCACCCGTCATATGATTTGAGCAGCCCGAATCAACAATCCAATCATTCTCATAGTTAACCTGCTGGAGTGTTGTTGCTGTTAAAGCTTGTTCGCTTTTACTTGAAACAAATGATGCCTCTGCATCCCATTCCTCTTCAACCTTCTTGGAAGTGGCAGCATTACTCTCCACGACCTTCTTCCTAGACCAACAATCTTTTGCTATATGCCCCTTCTTGTTGCAAACAAAACATTGTCCATTGAACCTCTTGCCACGACTTTGATTTTTTGAAACTCCACTCCCACGATTG